GCAGAGTGTCCCTCTCGGCCTCCGGTCTTCCCCTTAGCCCATTGGCGTTCCTCCCACCACTCCGGATATCCGCGGAGTTTAAAGCATGTTGACACCTCATGCCCCTTCTGCCTGTAGTGCGTGCAGACTGGCCGTGCACGGTTTGCCTTTTCATCCCGGGTCCTGGCAGTCCGGTCAACTTTAAGCGCAAACGCCTGAACTTTAGCCGCTGCTACGGTCTTTCCATGTGCAATTGCCCTCGAATTCTCTTCGTGCAAGAATGCCTGATGCGCACGTCCAAGGTCTGGTAACGGGTTTTGAGACAAAAGGTTGGACCAGACCGTTCCGTAAGCCTCATCATCAATACCAACAAGGAATTGATGTAATTTTCTTCTTCCCGATCGGCTGCGAATTTCCCAACGACATCGCACGTGCACTGCCCACACGAGCAAACGTGTAATGGTTTCAGCCGATGAAGTTCATCAAACAGCCCCATGAGTGTCGTGTAATAGGTGTCCACGGTCATGGTTTTACTCTGTCTACACTCCGTAATCGAGGCGCGTAGCTGCTGCAATCGGGGACCATTAGCGACGCTATAGCGCTTCTCCAGCTAGTCCCATAATTTTTTAGCCTCATCATGGAACAGTATTGACACAACAACACTCGGTTCCATACCCCGTAAAATCCATGAAACCACCATGAAATTAGGTCTCCCAATCAAACTTCTTAGCCGTTTCAGTTGGTTCTTTGATTGTACCGTCAATTATTATATCATTATGATACACTCCGTACAATATGTTTTTATATTCTCAATAGTCCAAGACATCTTTTATGACTTAATTTGAAATTTATTCTACGAGCTCTATGTACGAGAAAAAGCGACACAGAGTGTGTAGTTATACGCAAGAACCAATACTTTATTGGATAAAAGTAATAATATGAGAAACCTTGATTTTTTTTTTAAAAAAGTGAGGATATATTTTGCTTTTTAGTTTATGCACTTTTCTTTACATTGCACATAGAGGTCTTATTATTTTCACAAACATTTATAACGGTATCATACTTGGCGGGTCTACCCGACCCGGTTCCGAGACCTGTTGGGTGCGGGTCTGGGTCCAAATTTTCAGATCCGCCGGGTAAATGGGTCGGGTCTGGATCCATTATTAACTTAGCGTGTCCGGCCGTCCGGGTCTGGAACACTACGTTCTGGCCCGGACCCGACCCATTGACAGGCCTACAAGTAAATATACACAACAAAGCCCTTGGCCCAATAATAAAGCTATACAAATATGTACTAAGCCCAAACGGGTGTTAACAATGAGGCGAAGAGGATATAATATTACCACTTGCTGCTTCCACCGATCCTGAATATTTTTTTAAATCCATGAATGTGTTTTATTACGAAGTATTAAGGATAGAAAGAGTGCTAATATTTTTTATGACATACTGAAACATGGAAATATGGACCCTTATATACTCAGAGTTCTTAATTACGGAATATTATTTGAATTAGATTTTCATAATATTTTTTGGAATTCATCTCATCATCTAAGTTTGTATTCGTGATCTTTTCACATGATCTATAATTAAGAAACTTTCTTCTCAATTATAGCTTTGAAGATATTGAATTTCTACTTTCTTTTAAAAAATGCAGATGCTTTTTCTTAGAGATGCAATCACCATTTCCATCCTTGTATGATGTAAACAAATATGTTTAGAAAGGAATAAAAAGATCAACAGTGTGCCGTGTGGGGTGAATGTGAGCGAGGGAGTGCCACACGGGTGGTCTCGGGTTCGAATCCCGGCAACTGCGATGAGAGGTTACCATGCTAAAAATGCATAGGACCTCTGCAAGTACCGAGGACAGAGTCTCACTCTCTATATGTACGAGAAAAAGCGACACAGAGTGTGTAGTTATACGCAAGAACCAATACTTTATTGGATAAAAGTAATAATATGAGAAACCTTGATTTTTTTTTAAAAGTGAGGATATATTTTGCTTTTTAGTTTATGCACTTTTCTTTACATTGCACATAGAGAGAGGTCTTGTTATTTTCACAAACATTTATAACGGTATCATACTTGGCGGGTCTACCCGACCCGGTTCCGAGACCTGTTGGGTGCGGGTCTGGGTCCAAATTTTCAGACCCGCCGGGTAAATGGGTCGAGTCTGGATCCATTATTAACTTAGCGGGTCCGGCCGTCCGGGTCTGGAACACTACGTTCCGGCCCGGACCCGACCCATTAACAGGCCTACAAGTAAATATACACAACAAAGCCCTTGGCCCAATAATAAAGCTATACAAATATGTACTAAGCCCAAACGGGTGTTAACAATGAGGCAAAGAGGGTATAATATTACCACTTGCTGCTTCCACCGATCCTGAATATATTTTTAAATCCATGAATGTGTTTTATTACGAAGTATTAAGGATAGAAAGAGTGCTAATATTTTTTATGACATGACATACTGAAACATGGAAATATGGACCCATATATACTCAGAGTTCTTAATTACGGAATATTATTTGAATTAGATTTTCATAATATTTTTTGGAATTCATCTCATCATCTAAATTTGTATCCGTGATCTTTTCACATGATCTATAATTAAGATTTTTTTTTCTCAATTATAGCTTTGAAGACATTGAATTTCTACTTTTCTTTTAAAAAATGCAGATGCTTTTTCTTAGAGATGCAATCACCATTTCCATCCTTGTATGATGTAAACAAATATGTTTAGAAAGGAATAAAAAGATCAACGGTGTGCCGTGTGGGGTGAATGTGAGCGAGGGAGTGCCACAAGGGTTAGGTCTCGGGTTCGAATCCTGGCAACTGCGATGAGAGGTTACCATGCTAAAAATGCATAGGACCTCTACAAGTAGCGGGGACAGAGCCACACTCTCTATCTGTCAAATTGTGATTATAGTCCAATTTACATTCTCTTATTGTGTCGTCCGGTCGGTGTTGCGGGCCGTCATGGATGAGGTGGGAATGTGAAATATGTGAACACATCTAAAGGGAATCTAGCGTGTAAAAAAACAGTATTGCCTTTTAATAGTGCTATGATATGACATGCCGGTGACTTAGTGAGTTGAGGTAGTTGTTGGAAGAAAATATGTAAACAGGGATAAGGCTAATAAATTGGTTATAAATGTATTTTGATTCGAAAAATTTATTAAAAAGAGAAAAAGAGACAAATAACTAAACTGTAAAAGAGACAAATATTAGAGTTTAGGGTTTAGGCAAATGTAATATTTTCATAAATTTTTTACTTTAATAAATAGATATATATATGTGTGTGTTCACTTCCTTAATTATTGAGTTTTAAAACTGATTATAGTGTTACATACTATAATTCTTAATAAGAGGTGTAAAAAAAATCTTCTTGATTATCAACAATGATATAAATCTCTTGACTTTAACAAATAAATAATGGAAAAGTAATTGATTTAAGACTTCTGATACTTATTCTACAAAAAATAATTTCCATTGAAGTAAACCCCACATATAAATGTTTGTGCCACATTAATATTATTAGACAACATACAAGTCCATCTCATATATACTTTTGCTCTACTAATATCATACACTGCTAAAATCTCACATTCGTTTTTAGTTTATTGGTTCTAGATTTTTACCATGCAAAATGCCCTACAAAAACAAGAAAGAAATGTGATTTTACAGTATTATATTTGATTATTTTCATTTTAGTTCTAATTAACATTACAATTTAAACATTATTCGATAGTATATACTATGCATAATACATAATATAATTAGGAAAAATTTAGTGATGATATATTCTATTCAAATACTCCTTCCGTCCCTAATAACTTTGCCAAGTTTGACCGGCACAGAGATTAATAAAGTAAAAATTGTGTAATTGAAATTTGTGCAGGGGACAGAGAATTAACCGGAACCACAAATTCTTTACTTAAATGAGAAAGTGACAAAGTTAATGGGACATCCAAAAAGGGAAAATTGACAGAGTTATAAGAGACGGAGGGAGTATAATATGCAAATACAATCATATATATTTGAAAAGTTAATCAAATTAAATACAAATACTCTCTTAAGTTTGAATATTAAACAAATATGAATTCGATTGGAATAGAAAGATATCAAATTATAGTCAAATAGAGGGATATCCGACTCGATTCAATTTGTTTACAGTCCTACTGCAGCGGTGGTGGTCAATGTTTCCGACAGTGATCACTTTGGCCGGCGGCGGCGGTCACTTTGACGGTGATCACTAGTCGGTAATTAATGATCGCTGTGGTCGGAAGTGGACACTACATATTATAAAGGGTAGTTAAGTAAAATGTACTACCTCCGTCCCATTAAGATTGAGACAAGAGAAGGTGGCACGATTATTAAGAAAAAAAATGGATTTGTGTGGTTGATATTAAATTGATAAAGTAAAAATAAAGTAAGAATGATTTAGAGTCACACAAACTTTACCAAATTTGGTATGAGACAATCTTAGTGGGATTTTCCGAAAAGGTAAAATGAGACAATCTTAGCGGGACGGAGGGAGTACTTCGTATTTAAGAGTTTCTTGCTTTAGAGTGTAACTAGTCTTATTTTTTAAATTAAAAAAAGGTATTTTTTCCATTACTTAGCTTTTAGTATTATCCATGTCTTATAAAATTCTTCTCACTTATTTTTCTGGAGTGTATAAAAAAATTCTTTGTACGGTCCTTTGTGGACACAGGATTGTGAGATTAATATTCATTTATATTTTTCTTACTCAATTTCAATCGTATACGTGATATTTCCTTTATTCTCACTTTGTAGTAAGCGTCCAATTTAAACCGAACTTTACGTTTTTTTTGGAACGAGGAGAGTAATATTCTTGTTATTGCCAAATAAACAAACAAATCATAGTAGTAGTTTCGAACATCTACAAAACAAAAACAACACAAAACTAAAGTTGAGAGGTTGGTAAACTCCTCCACTGTGGAGCGCTCGCTATAAATAATTGTTACTACCGCCCCCAACCATTTTAATTCATACAGCTCGAGTAATCTTTAGTTGCCTTTCCTCTTTCCATTGTGCTTCGAATTCACTGCCTTTTTACATCTAGGGAGTGGTTATTAAATGGAGTACCATCTCATCCTCATACTTCTTTGTGTAAGTATACTCCATAAGATTTCAGTACATTAAATACATAGATGCTTTAATACAGAGTATGTGTCTTATGATAATCTGCTTGGAATTAGCTCCTTTTCTTAATTACTAATTTAATTTGACTAACAATTAGTAATTTCAGCTCTTATTGTTAACAAATCACATTGATAACTACTAATTTGACTAACAATCCGTTTAGTAGCATTTATCTTCGGGTCAACGTTTTTATGAAATATTAAATATTTGAATTTACATGCTAAATATTGTAATAATAAAAATAAGTAGAGTTGAAATAAGTTTTCGGACAATTAATATATTTTGCTGATAAGAACTACGTTAGTTAGCTTTTTCATAATACATGTAGTTTATTACTACCCGTCCCAAAAAGAGATGCAAATTTGACTTTTCTTAGTCAAACAGTCTCGTTTTGTTCACTTAATTAGGATGTCAATGTTTAATTATATTCTAATTTGGAGTTTACAACTTTGAAGAGATTTTAATGTAGTTTTTGAATACGTAAAGTTTTATTATTAAAAATTGAATTAATTATCGATACGGAGGGTTGACTTTTATTATTGGTTGACAAAAAATTGTTGACTTTGCAAAACAAATTGGGACGGAGGAGTATTTTTTTAATTTATCTAAGGAAAATTACCCAAAATAGGAGTAAATGGGCCAATGGGGTTTGAAATTTCAAAATAGGACTACTATGTTTTCTCCCCGAAATAGGAGTCGTTACTGTCATGAATGAAAAATGCTGTCATCATTAAAAAAATATTGCCATTAATTATACTTCGTAATAAATAATGCTATGTTAAATACATAGTACTGCAACTATTTGGCAATTATGCCTACAAGATGGCAGTAAATACTGTCATGTTAGTTCTATTTTGGTAAGAAAAACATATGAGTCCTATTTTGGAATTCCAAACTTCATTTACTCCTATTTCGGAAAACCTCCCTTTATCTAATATCTTTTGCATATAATTTCCCCCTAGAATTCAACCGATTCAATCATTTAAGTCTGAATTTCATCAATTTAAAATTTTAACCAATGCTGCGTATATTTCAATGTTATCAAATAATCTCTTAATTTTAAGCATCATGTTGAAAGTTTTAATGATGTTTTTATTTGGATGAGATTTTTATGATCTGGTCTGGTCTATTAAAATATGGATTGGCTTAAACTTTTCTGGTCTAGTCTAATAAAAGTCTACTTTATCTGTTTATAATATATTATCTAAGCTTGCTCTGATATGATCTTGTTCAAGCCTAATATGGTGTGTGGTATTAAACTACGATAGAATTAATATATAACAATAGCTATAACATTCAAGCCTTGGTCACAAAAGATTTTGGAGTCGCAAACATGAATCGATACATGGTATTTAGGCCAAAAAGAAAACAAAGATAAGAAAGAATAAAAAGATAATGAAATATATAAAAAAAGATAAAGATAATTATAAGATAATGATAAAAATGATAAGATGAAAACAGTTACAATAATATACAAGTATATACTAAAAGGATAAATTAAAAATATAAGAAAGATAAAACAAATAAAAGGATAAAAATGATAATAAGAGATCACATCATTTTTCCAGTCCTTCACGTTGCTCTCCCAGAGTCATATTCTCAACAAACTTAAGAAGAAACATACCAGTCATTAGTCATTACTCTTCTAATCCACATATGTTTGATTGTTCATTTGCCTCTGATCCCCACCTTTTGTACACACCTATCAACTCGTCTAATAGGTGCATTACTTGGTATTCTACGCACACGGCCAAACCACTTCAATGGAGACCCTCACATCTTATTTATAACGAGAATGGTAGATAGAGGCGTGCTTTCAATTTAGATGTATACTAAAGAATTTTAAATGAATTGTATGCGTACATATGCAAAAATAGGAAGGTATTAGATGTATACTAAAGAATTTTTCTTGCTGATTTACTTACCAGGATATTAGATATTTTATCTTATAAATTTGTTGACATTAATTTCTTTCACCCCCGGGACCGGGTCGAGTATGAAATAATTTTTTTTTTTTAATCTTTTTGAATTAATTCCAACCCCCCACGCCCCACCCCAAACCAGCCAACCAACCCCACCCACCTAGCACCCAGCCCAATGGGGAAAATTAAAAAAAAAAGGCCCGGCCCGACCAGTCACCTTAAAACACAGCCCGTAACCCGCCTCATTAAATCCTGGGTCGGGTAACCGGGTCAGGTCCTAGACCCGGGCCGGGCCGGGACTAAACAGTACCGGTCTGGGCCGGGTCCCGAGTGTGACTAGCCCGTCCCAGTCCACCATTGACATGACACTAGTGGTGACACCTTTGAGGTACTCCCCCGTCCCCCTATAATTGTTCTATTTTTCCATTTTTGGATGTCCCTCTATTATTGTCTCATACCATATTTGGTAACATTTGTGTGACTCTAATTCATTCTTACTTTATTCTCGCTTTATTAACTCATTATCAATCACATAATTCTACTTTTCTTAAAATAGAAAGGTGTAGTTAAAATTTGGAAAGAGGAGAAAGAAATATACGTACTCCCTAGTATACAAAAAGAATGTAAGACCAAAAAATTGATAATCCTTTAATATGTTGCTATTTTTTTCATTAGATATATGTATGGTGGGAAGCGATGCAGCAACTTCATCATCACTTATGCTGAGCATGTACTGGAATACGAAGCTGCCCAACACTGCCATGCCCCTAGCAATAAAAAATTCCCTCCCAGCTAAGGAAGCTAGCACTGTTTGGTCCTCCTCCTTCGCAAAAAAGGAATTTCAGAGCTTACACAGCCACGGCTTTGGCTACATCTACGCCGCCACGGAAGACCAACTCCACGACAACTCAAACGGCGCCATCTTCTTCAAGCCCGCCGCCTTACACAAAGGCAACGCCGACGGCATGACCTTAGGATTCTCAACGCCCGAGAAAGGCGCCGTTTTCTTGCCACGGTCGGAATCCAAAAAGATCCCGTTTTCCTCCCGGGAGATGCCCCAAATCCTCAGCCGGTTCTCCATAAAACCCGATTCCGATGAAGCTCGGAAGATGCAGACAACCATCAAAGAATGCGAAGATCCCGCTCTCAAAGGAGAAAAGAAGCAGTGCGCCACGTCACTAGAATCCATGATCGACTTTGCCGAATCCAAGCTGCAGGGGAAGCAGGGGAAGAAGATCCGGGCGGTATCGACGGAAACCATTGCCGGAAATACGTCATCCCTCCAGAAGTACACCATTTCAGGCGTTGAGGAATTGAACGAAGATGGCGACGGGATTGTGGCCTCCCACAAGCAGAGCTACGGATACGCTGTCTTCTACTGCCACAAAACAGAGACGACGGATGCTTTTAAGGTTTCCCTGGTCGGAGCTAACGGAGCACAGGTAATCGCGGCGGCGGTTTGCCACAAAGATACTTCCGGTTGGAACCCAAAGCATTTGGCTTTCCAGGTGCTTAAGGTCAAGCCAGGGACTGTTCCCGTTTGCCATTTCCTGCCGGAGGATCACGTTGTCTGGTTTGCTAACAACTAATTATGTGCAACGTATATATATACCCAACTCTGCTTCAGCTCTTCGCCGGCCCCTGTTACTTCCCTTTTCTATCAATGTTAATATACTCCGTAATTCCGTATATCTAGGCCAGGCCAGCTTGACAGCCACAACATACATGTATGTGTAATATATAACCGTGTATAATGAAATAACAAGGCTGACAATAAAAGAGTTGATGGTGTTTTATGCTTTGTACTGCCTCCATCCCATTTCATGTGTCTCACTTTTATTTGGTACGATTATTAATAAAGCGGTTGAAAAAGTAAAAGTTGTGATTGAGATTTGAGTATAATTGTTAGAGGTATTGGTCCTACCAAGATCTCCTTCCACTTTATTATTGATTTCACTCCATGTTTACTCCCACTTTTATACTCCTTTTGAATCTCTCCTAACCAATAATATAGCCATTTTGACTTATATGGAGTGACCCCTTTGAGCTGTCCGCTGCAGCCCTCCTTTGTATTTGTAACACCCGTGAATGTCCTTCGTGTAGCCAGCCTATTATTTAGGAGCCTTGTCTTCCTTCTGTGAGAGTAGCCTGCGTGAGATATTCCTGAGAGTAGTGAGCAGAGCTCTTCTTCTTCTCCTTCCTTAGTGTGAGAGTGAGAGAGGTACCTTAGTGGTTGGAGATAAAACATGGTGAGGTGTTGTACTGTGGTCTAGCCTAGAGTGGTGTGTGTGAGTATAGCAAAAGGGTTGGAGACCTAAATCGGAAAGAAATCGATCCTCAACAATAATAAAGTGAAATAGTGTAAGCCACATATTTCTTTCCATAAAAGGAAAGGAGACACTTATTTTGGGACAACCCAAAAAGGAAAATAGGATAGGTAAAATGGAACGGAGAGAGTAATTAGTATATGCTTGACCCATGCGTATTGAATCTTTTTTCAATAACCGAAGTGTTACAAGTTTGAATAATCCTGTTAGTGAAGAAAATAATGAAAGAATGACACCAATATTACCTCTCAAATTATATTGGACAAAAATATGACCACAATAAAAAAAGACACAAACATGACCGCAACTCTTCCGCTTTTATTTTAACGCTAACCTCCCGTTTTCAACTTTATCTCTTCTGCAAAGCTCTTCCATCCACTTCCGCACAGCTCCTCCACCAGGTCTGAAGACTCCATATCTCCGATTCTAGCCCGCCGCCTCCATCTTTCTTCTCCGCAGTCCATCTTTCTTCTCCACAGCTCAGAATGCAGTCGCCCATGGCACCTTCGTAGTCGGCCATCGCACTTTCTCAGTTTCCCATTGCGCCACTGCAGTCCGCCATCGCACTGCCACCGCCTCTAGATTGTACCGGCTCCAGCTTCGATCGCCGCCTCCGCCGTAATTTGACGCCACCGCCTCTGCCGGCCTCCAGGGCGCTCGGTCTATATATGCGATTCTCAATCGATGCTCCAACTCTTCACTGTAGCTTTGCCTTGCCCACAGAATCAGATTTCAGATCTAATTTTCAGATCGAGGTTTGTGTTGAGGCAGGAAGCTATGGCGTTGTTTGTGGGGATAGGATGTTGTGTGACTCAGGTGTAGTGGGGCTGGGATGTGTTGTTGCTGGCTGGGGCTGGGGGCTAGAGACTGGGGCTTGACTGGGATCTGAGCTTCTGGGGCTGTGGCGGCCATTTCAACGGTCAAGCACGGTGGTGCAGCGGTGGTTAACCACTGCTGAAGGTTGGGGTTAAGGTTGCGGTTGGGCGGTTGGCTGTGGAGATGGTGGTCGGTGTTTCTGCCACCTTGACGGTGTCACTGTGGCGGCGTCACTATGACAACGTCATTGTTTCCGGCGTCACTATAGTGGTGTCGGGTGTCACTGGGGCGGTGGCAGTGTCACTGTGACCGGCGGCAGTAGTGACACAGGCGGTGGCAGTCAGGGGCGGATGGAGCTTACAAGGGTTGGGGGCACATGCCCCCAATGACTTTGTCATTTTACTTGTTAATTTTTTATTTTTAAATACAAATAGAATAATGCCCCCAATAAAAAAAAGAATGCCCCCATTAATTTTTTTGCCAAACCGTAGGGCCTTTTTAATTCCATGGTCAGTCGGTCCTATTTAATTATTTAGGTTTTGTTTGCAACCACTTGTGCATAAATAAAAGCACTTTTGGAAAAAAGTGATTAGTAGTAAAAGTTGGTAGTGTTTGGTAAATAAGTGCTTTTTGTGTAATAGAAAAAGTAAAAAGTAGATTCTACACGAAAACCGAGATAGTAAAAGTTGGTAGTGTTTGGTAAAATAAGTGTTTTTTTCTTAAAAGAAAAGCCAAAAGCACTTATCAAACAGAGATTGCAAACAAAGCCTTAACCTATTGTTTTAATAATTTAGTTGCTAAAGAAGCCTAACTTCTCCTACTTTGATTTCCAAAAAAAAAACTTCTCCTACAATATATAACCTAAATTAGTATTTTAGTCAACTTTTTAGTAAATTAGGGTATTTAGCCTATTAGTATAATAGTATTTTAGTCAACTTTTTAGTTCTTCTTATTACAATTTTGCTTCCTAAATTAGTAAATTCCAGTTACAATTTAATAGCTTATTTGAAACTTGTTTAATTGTTATTTCGATGGTTATTACTGAGAGTAACTGTGTGATTTTGAGTTAATTATTATTCTTTTTAGTTAGTTGCTATTTGCCTCTTTCGTTGTACTTTTGAAATGGTCCAATTATTTGCTCAATTTGTTAGAGTCGGGAACCAAATTTTAACTTGTGGTTATAGTTTTCCTTTATTAGGATGTGTATTACCGATTAACTATATTAGGGTTCTCCCGGAGATTTGAAAATTTGGAATTTAGTGTTAGATATGACTAAATATACTTAGTAATTACTATTTAGTATTTTTATTTCGTTTTGCTTGGTGAATAATATAATTTAAAAATGTTTTTCACTTGATATCAATAATTTTTTATTATTATTTGGGCAAATTAAACAATGATACTACAATAATTTAAAAGAAAAACACCACCTCCATCCAATCAAAATGGAGATGTTGGAGAAAGTTATGTGATAATGCATTAACTAGAACTTCTTCACTTTCTAAAGAATTTGATTTGAATGCCATCACTTGGGATCCCGTAGACAGGAAAAAAATGAAATATCATTCTAATCAAGAGATGAAATAAGAAGAAAATACTTACTTAGAGAACCTTGTCAATCTCGTGACCATGAATTTCCTCAGAAAGTTATAGACAAAAAAAATTGCCGATTTAATCCTTCTTGGTTTGATCAATAAGGGAATTGGTTGGAATAAAGTGTCTAATAGGACAAAGCATTTTGTTTGTGTTGCTATTTGTATAGAGATAACCATGACAATCAAGCTGGAAATGACGCTTTTGTGACAGAGGATGATGTGAGTTTTCTCGCACTTAAAAATAGTTGTAGAAAAGTGGTGTAAAGTACGAGTATCGTCTCCACAGGGACGGACAAAAGGGAAATAAAGATTAACTAAACTTTAGCGATTAAAAAGAAATAAAAATAAATAAATGCAAGTGTGCGAGATTGATTGGTTGAATTAAAATTAAAACTAATGCTAATGAGCGATAAAAATAAAAGATTGGTTTCTTCTCAATTAACGACGAAGGGAACAGGGATTGATTCCGGGGTAACCAGATTTTCTGGCAGATCAGGCCTAATTACATGAATTTAATTTAATTGAGCCTAGCTAATCATTACTAAGTTCTTACCGCTCTCGCGGCGTAGAGTACAATAATTTAGGGGACCAGGCTGATCTCTCATGCGACAGGATCCTAAATTATTGCCAAGACGAGCGAGCTTACGGCCCCTTAATCGCTACTAATCTCTTAGCGAACGATTAAGTGTGTGTGAATGTGTCCTAGAACAAATTAGATCTCTCTTAATTTATTCTATCAGCAATTGTAATTCTAGTGGCCATCTAGGTTACAAGAGATATCAGTTAAATTATTCAGACACAAATTAAACGGCATTCATGCAATTAAACCGACAAGAATCTAGCCATGAATCATGATTAACCCCTTCATCAACCCCAAATCCCTAATTAAACTACTCACAATTCATAATTGAAGAATCAACAGAATTGGGATGAATAGAAATAATTGTCATTAAATTAAAAAGATGAACTTACAAATAATCCCAGGGTCTTGGAAGAAAATAGCGTAAAAACGGTGTTAAATTCGTCCCTAGGCCTCTCCGTAATGTTCGTAACCCCCAAAAAGGGTTAGGGAGGCCTTATTTATAGAAAAAAGGGGAAAAAAACCGAATTTGGGCCGAAATAGGAAATTTCCGCGCGTGTCACGGGGCTACGCACGATCGTGCGTCCCTGCCTACGCACGATCGTGCGTAGCAGGCAGGGGCCTCATCGCTGTTTAGTAATGGACGCACGATCGTGCGTCCCAGACGCACGATGATGGTCCCGGATAGGGTAAAAGTCTAGAGGGGGGGGGGGGGTGAATAGACTTTTAAATCCTTTTCAATTTTACAAAGTTTTCCCTCTAGAAAAGTTGATCTATAATCTTTTGAGAGATTAGTAGATGCACAGCGGAAGTCTTTACCCTTTATGTAATAAGTGTTTGACCACTTTCTAATTTGGGGAAGATTGGACTTAGATAGCTAGCAGTTGGCTTGGCAGTTAGCTTGGCAGTTGGCTAGATAGCAGGGAACTGTTGAGGTAACTGTTAAAGAAATAATGACTTTATGATGAAAGTGATGGAGAAAAGTTGTTTAGAATGAAGAAAGATGTCTGAAAAAGTGCTTTAGTAAGATTAAGGAGAGGTTTAACTGCAGCAGTGGTCTTGGCAGTTGGGTGGTACAAAGGGAACTGCTGAGCCACCTGCTTAGGTTATAAGCAGATTTTCAGAGATCCTTTTAAGCAAAACTTTGTGTTGATGATGTTATGAGGATCTGGTGATGTTGAGTTGTTTAAAGGAAATATATGTATGTGAGCAGGGAGCTCAGCAGTTGGGTGATACTGAGGAGACTGCTAAGGCACCTGCTATACTTTGAGTGTGAATTTTCGAGAACTGATAAAACAATCTTTTTGGTAATGCTTTAGCAAGTGAACTGTGTGGAGATAGCCTCAAAGAGAGTGAGTAATTAAGCAGAAGGATAAGCAGTTGGGTCATTTAAGATAACTGCTTAAGATGCTGCTAGCAAACTACAATCTTTATACGAGAAGTGCTGGGTGTGTGTTTTGTTGAATGAAATGAAATCAACACACGATGTATCCTGGTTCAGAGGTGGTGTAATCCTCCTACGTCCAGTCCCATTCTCTTTCAAATG